CCGCAGACTAATTCTGACCTAGGAGGCCTAGTAGCTGGGCCTCAGCCTATCGTCTTTTCATTCTTGTTATGATGAACCATGCTCTCTCGACGATTACCTTTTCATCACCAAAACCATTCGTTGCGATTAAAAAAAGTGCCCCTTGAATTTTCCAATTTCCCAAGCACCCCTTCAATTTTCATCTATTTCCATAAGAGTCCCCTTAATTTCCACTCTGTCTTCATAAGCGCCCCGTTTGAATAAGCGCCCCTGAAAAAGAACCAAAAATATTTTAAGCGCCCGGGCGCTTATTCGCGCGAGTACGGTGTACTGTACCTAAACAATATTTAACAAATTAACTACAGAAATTAATGATTAAGAATATAAATTTTCAATATATACAGTGAGAAATTGATATAATAATAAAACATATAGTAAATAAAATTAATAATGATGATTATTAATATGATGATGGCGTTAATGGTGGTGATGATAACAATTATAATGATGATAAGGATGGCAATCCTGGATACGGCCCTGCATTGTTAGAGCCAACACGAGTGCAGCGTCCTCACCGATATCATGTTATTAATTTATCGCCATCACTTTGTTTCTGCAGAAGATCTTCTTTAATGCGAACACTATGATATCGATGAAAAGAATAATTATTTCAACCATCGTTATAGTCGATAAGCCGATATACAGACCAAGGAGACCACCAAGAGACCCGAGAAGCGACGCAGTCTGTCAAACAAACAATACTCATGATAATAAATTACAAAAACGATTACTTAACATTGTGATAAATATAATTATGACAGTAATATTATTAAAAGTGATAATAAGTATATACATTATTATATATTATGCCGCCTAACATTAAATTTTTATTTTTATTAATCTTTTGGCGATTTTTATTGTTTTAACATTTTTATGTAATTGTAGAGCTTTTTATCTGTGTATCTATATTTACTACAATTATTGTTCTACTTCAATTTGGTGTAGATTTTTTATATCTTGTCAGATTGCAATTAAGTGAATTTTGATTTGATTCGGATTTAAATTAAAGCATTAAATAATAACAGTGCTCGAATAGGAACAATATCTTGATATCAAGATAAGTCTTGTTCTTATTCGAGCACTGTTATCACANNNATTTGAATAGTAAAGATGCTGTCTCTTATACACATCTAGATGTGTATAAGAGACAGATATATATATAATAGATAATAATACAGTGCTCAAATATATAGGATCATGAAGCTATAAATCATATCAAACATAGTTCATCAACGAACTGTCAGGGATCCCTTCTTGTTAAATCTGACTTATAAACTAAAATTCATAAAAGTAGGCAAACTTTTTTTAATAAACTGAAGGAAAATGAATGCCTTATCATAAAACCGTGGTTGAAATATATCTAAATATATACTTACACTGTATATTGGTACTTCATTTATAGACTGGAAGTTGAGCTCTTCAAAGAAAATATTGAGTCGAACGAGGTTTTTCCTGTCATGTGATAAAAGCAACTAATGAGTACAGTATTAGAATTGAAGTCTCCACTGTAAGACATACAAGTTATGCGAATTGATATTTACAAACACAAGAGAGACGCACATGTACGAGTTAAAAAAATATATATATAATAATAAATATCTCAAATTTGATTTATAAATCATTAATATAAGTATGGTGGCCTAGGAAGATCTGCAGAAATGCGGGATTGTAGACTAAAACTCACCAGGAAGACAAGCGCATCCTAATAAAAAGAGGAGGGAATATGGTGGACAGGCCTCATACTTTAAGAAAAAAAATCAAGCCGGCAGTTGACTACAACCCACAGGGAGAAAGGAAACAGGACAAACCAAAGATTAACTGGCTCTAATCTGCAAGACCAATATTAGGATATCCTAGGGAAGGCCAAGGCTCTGGCACTGAGGCGGGTGAGATGGAGACATAGTGGATGCCATGTTTCCCAGGGGGCCAAGAGGATTAACTAATTAATACAAGCATAATTAGGGTATTATCATTATTATTGATAAAAAAAATTGATATTTCAATTTCATTTAGATTATATATAGGCCTATTATATTATTATTATAAAAAATGATGGAGTTGGCCTATATTTAGTCAATTATGGTAAAGATATTCATTCCGATTTGTTCCGATATATCTACTCCTACAATTATTAATATACCTTGTTTTTTCAAAGCTTTCTATAATACTTGCGGCTTTGAAATTCCGCTTCGACACTCTCATATACAAATGTTCTTGATACCTCTCCGACGGCCACAGGGATGTGGAAATAGATGTGTAATAGTTAGTCTCCCTAAAACATAAAATATTTTATTACAATAATGAATGATGTGCTAGTGCACTAACCAATATCTTCTGTTTAAATTATTTTAACCACAGACGCAAGATGGAAGTTGTCTCAGATTAGCAAGTCGGCAATGTGGAAAGCTTTGCCCGCGGGCAAACCGCTAGAAAAGGTGCACTGCCCGCAATTGATAACTTACATCAGAAATGTCTTGGTACCAAAAACACAGCATTATAGCCTATTTATGATTATTAAGAGTTGATTCAATAATTAGAAGTACAGTATATGGAAAATTAATTCAGGTAGCATCAGTGCCGCTTGTTTTTATTTTTTTAATTTTTTTTTTATCAAGAAAACAGCTACAAATAATGCAGTCAAAATAATATAATTGATAGTCCTCATCAATCAATCATTCAATTCCTTTTCTGTCTCTTATACACATCTAGATGTGTATATATATATATATATATATATATATAATTTAAAATGCTATTCAATATTTATAATGATGATGGTACTGAAAAATATATATGTATAAACTAAAAATGTACCAAGCAAAATCATACAAATATACCGGTATTTATCAATGTATGTCAGATTAATCAAAACAGAAAATGCATTGGACCTATAAAATATCTATACCCTCCACACCATAGAATGACATGCCCACCCCATAGAATGGGTGGTCACTATTCAGAAAACCATCGCTCTATTTTCCAATAACGACTGTATTTACGTTTGTTTACGCAGCCACTGATTACAACAGCTCATTTATGTCATCAATTTGTGAGTACTGTATTCGCATGAATAATGAAATAAAAATTGTAAGCCTGCTTACTCGCACCGCAACGGACAGCTGCAATCCAATTTATCCTCAGTCGCTAGCGTTTCGATCAATTGCAGACAGACCTCTGAAAACAACAATATGCACGTGATAGTCAATACAGGTACTCTACGAAATGGACATTCAGCCCACCCCTTGGATTGGATATTGTTGCTAAGGTCCCGCAAACAACATTTTGTAGAAGAAAACATGGCTGGCTGTGCGCTTTCGAGCACAGACTAGTTGTTCATTCCGGACAATATCTGTTTAACGTTCCTGCCGAATCATAAAAATGTATCGGAAAGTGTTTTAAAAGGGGTCTAAATTACTATTTGCTAGTATACATTCATATAATTAAAAAAAAAGGCACTAAAGTTGATGGAAAAAATTCTTGCGATTGATGCGGACGTCTGATCCATCTCCATGGTTTCACATCGAGATTTCGGCATAAAATCTCATCGATTCTTGGGGCTGAGGTGAGAAAATAGACCTCTAGATGGCCGGAAATGACACTCTTAAATTGTATCTTGCAGAGTACGTACTTATAATCTCATTTCACAACGTCACAACGTTTGAACGTTCTTACAACGTTGTGTGAACGTTATTTATGACATACATAACCACAATGTTCGCTAACGTTATAGGAATGTTTCGTGATTGCTGGGTTGTCCCTGGCGCCCTCGGCAACACCCTGTGGGACGAGTATAATCGTTGCTGGCAGTCAACATGTTGAAAATTAGGAAACTACATTTATAATAATTATTTTAGGCAATACCTGGTTTACCCTGAGACAACTATATACCGTACGTATATAGTTGTCTCAGATAGAATCGCTATACAAATCACTGCATCTTTTTTCACTGCAATCTTTGCACTGCGTATCTGTCCCCGACGCAATCGGCCCGGGAACGCTCCGACTGACCAATCAGCGTCGCCGCCAAAGGAGTCGGCGATAGCGTGGAGCGGTTTTTATGGAAACTCTATATGTTTAAAGTAAATACATCAAAGACAATTAAGTTTTTTCTATGGTACATTACAGCGATTAATTAGGTCCATGATGATGAATTTTACTATAAGAGTGTCATATCCGGTAATCTAAATGTACTTAATTTTACCAACTCAGCCCAAACTATGGTGGGGCTAAGATGGGTGTGGACTCAGGTTTTGAAGTAGGTAAAGTCAATACATGAAAGACAATGTTTAAAAATCTTATTTTCTATAGTACCGTACATCAAACATATTAATTAGATCCATGTTTGCCGAAAATAGCTGTTAAAAGATCATGAGAATTTGTTTGCGCTTCCTTTTGACTATATAGGCCTAATGGTGGTGTGATGATGAATTTTACTATTTAAAAGTATGAAATGTGTACAGTAGCACCTTCTTTAGACTAACGAAATTTATTGAGACACAAGCTTTCGCTAGCTTCATTAGGAGGTACTATTTAAAAGTGTCATTTCCGGCCATCTAGAGGTACTATTTCCTAAAAGTTTCTCACCTCAGCCCCAAACATAGTTGGGCAGACCATGGAGGAAATGTGGCCTCACTGCTTCGAGGTAGGTCAAGTAAATTAAATCAAAGAAAATGTTTCTTTAGTTTTATTTGCTATGGCCGGTACATCACTCCTATTATTAGATCTCTGTGGTTGTCAAAAATCCCTGATTTCCTGGCGCTTCATTTAGACTATATAGGGTGATGTGATGATGATGAATTTTACTATATAAAAGTGTCATTTCGGACCATCTAAAAGTACTATTTCCTCAACCTTACTTGCCTCAGTTTATTAACAACATTTGCGTTAATATAATTTAAATTAAATTTCCGAAAATAAAAATTATAATATTTACCCACATTTTTAAGTCAAAAAATAATTGTAGGCTAACAGTATTCAAAAACTGGATGAAAACATTTTTTTTACGAAAAACCCATATGCCACAATCCGAAGCAGCCTTGATTACGCAGCGTGTATCGCTGTAACTATGTAGCCATTTTGTTTTGTCGAGTATTTACCAGATATCTATTCGACTGGACGTCTTCGTTAATAGTCCACCGGAATACGGATTTGACTGGACAAAATTGCAACAAAACGTTTTATGATCTAAATATAAACTTAATTATATGTAAAACAACATAATAAAAGTTTACCAAAATAGGACTACATAAAGGTGTTTTTTATAACAAAAAGTTCAGCACTATTTGAAAGTACTAGACTTTTACACGGTCCGTACTGCGGTTTTCAAACTTTTCTTGATTACGATTGGTCAACATTTAGGTCAACGTAGGTCATATATGTTTGTTGCATGCCGGAAGAATGAGACCCGCGTGCGAGCTTCGCGATCGCGAGGTTTGGTGTGCGAATCACAAATATATTTCTTCCGGTTTACAGGAAATACAGAGCTATAAATATTGGAAATTAACTGGAATCATGCCAGAGCAGTTCCATGTATGACCCAGACAAATTTTGTTGTAAAGTCTAGGCCTGAGGCCTTGTAATAACATCTCATTTTTTAGGCCCTAGCTTAGGCATTGCTCCTTGCTTCCTCCCGGTTCAGTCTAGTAGTCGCGCAAACCTTTGTGTGTCACTTTCCCCGCATCGCAACGTTTTCTCGGCGGCCAACGCACGCATGAACGTATAGAGATAATCTTAGTAACGTAGGCCTGGGACTATTTTCAATGTAATCTCATAAGTATCTAAGTGTAGAATGGAACCAGAAATGCATCGGCATACTGATGTAGAACTACTATTTTATTTATTGTCGAGTAGTTTTGTTTTTTTTTGTTTTTTTTTTTTCATTCTACAGTATCGCAAAAACTAGAGCAGTCTCAAAATGAAAAATCTTTCAACTTATATTTTGACGCCTTTTGAATTTATTTTTGGGATTCAAATCTGTATCGTAACATAGGACCTCCCGTACAAATTATTGAGTCGTTTACTCTATTCATGATACATACATCCAATAGAAATTAGTTCTATACTGTAACTCACTTTTAGGTCAATATAAATAAATTTTTTAATTTTGAAAACATTATACCAACACCCCTAATAACGATACAATTTCACGCTTTGGTTTGTGTCCCTTGAATATGGGTACCCTTATCTTATTGAGAAGTCCCAAAAGGTCCCTGATTAGGGGTTCTACTTTATATCGAAGTGTTGTATTGCCTTGTAACAACAATGTATATCGAAGTGCTGTATTGTCTTGTAACAACAATATAATTTGATAACATACTTATTAAAGAAAATAATTATCTAAAACAGCTTTTCAATTTAATTTTCATGATTTGTTGATTCCCATCGGTTTAATCTGGCCGTGTTAATTCTGACATTAGTTTCTAACACCTTTGTCATGTTTTTGATTTCATAATGCCCGCTAATGTAATAGGCACGAAGGCGTAAATATCCTCCAATATAGACAAATAAGGAACTGAGGATGCGAATGAGTGACACAACACCGTAAATGTCTAAAATTTATTTACACGATCAAAACAAATATCTCGTGTGTATTTTGAAACAAAAACACTATTAAAAAAACGGCAGTCTGACTGAGAATATAGTACACTGCATGCAGACACGCAAATTGAACACACTAACCAAAATTGTATCAAATTACTGTATTTTATTTTTAAAATATTTTGTTTCGATGTTTTGACTACATGCCATGCATGCATAAGATTATGCCAAATAAATATTAATAAAATTTCAGTTCCTTAATTTTTTTATTTGTCAATTATAAGTGTTGGACACAAACCATCTATAATTTCCATTTTTTACTTGCCTTCCTACCCACTCCCCACCACCATTGCCAACCAAAAAGTTCATTCAGTAAAATTCAGTCATGGCTATCGGTATTTCCTTTGAGTTATAATCAGCTGGTACACTGAGCAAGAGCAAACAATATTTCTTCCAGATATTCGATCCTTGAGTAGAGAGCAGTAGCCAATTTAGGAGGTGGGGACCTTTTTCAAATTTCAAAAAATATTGAGAAAAAAATAATATATTCAGATTTTTGTCTACAGGTGCAGTAATCATACATTTTCTTAAGTCTACTACTTCAGCCGTACGTGGTTGGGAATGAGGTAAAAAGAAAATAGTACCTAGATGGGAAAAGTCACTTATATACAATAGTAAAATTCATCATCGTCATCACATCACCAGGCAAAAATGAAGCGTCAACAAATTTCACATGATCTCTTATTAGCGATTTTCGACAAAAATAGAGATCTAATTAATACTGTATATGTGGTGTAAAATTAATCATCATTGATCGTATGTTTCTTTGTTGTTTATGTACTTCTGTTGACGTAAGAAAAACTGATTTCATATTCTAATTTCACAATAAAGCTATCTTGTATCTTGTATTTTGTATCTAATATGAATCGCTGCGATAGAAATATAATAACATTATTTTCGATTTATCTACTTTACCTACTTCATGAGCCGAAAACCAATTTATCTTTACACACTTTTTCTCATACTTGTATAATAAAGGTTCACATACTCAAGTCGGGGTATTACAGTTAATTCAGATGTACAATTTCCAGGTATATTCTTGACTTCCTTCTGAGGAATTTACCTTGCGGACGAAACGTGATGGGGACCACCCCCTTAAAATAGTTGGGGTACGTGTCGCCTGTCACCCCCGTCGTCCATGCTATTCACCAGAAGACAAGGCATTATACAGTAATTCCATTTTTTTTTTATATGAAGAGAGTAGAATAGTAGGCATATTTCAAATAAATCAATTATCAGTCATTATTATACTTTTTACTACGGTATTTTACAAATAAATTTTATTGTATTAGCTCTAAAATTTTAATTGGTGTTTTTCGTTAAGAAAATGTAATGATATGCCTATTCCTATACAAGGCCTATTGATGTAAGATCACATATTTTTTTTCCGACTTCTGAGTATCAGCTGGGTCGGCACACACTGAGCAGGCCTCACTATTGTCAATTAGTCGTACTTATCATTGTATTTAACATTAAAACTGAATTATTGTTGTAGATCCATCTCCACTGAAATTAAATATTTCAGAGGTTACACTATCTAACAATTTCAGTTTTACTTCCGTGTTTACATTCTGGACGTGACACGTACGTACGAACTTGCGTACGTACGTACGTGTTGCGTAAAGGAGTACGCGCAGAATGTTGAAGGT